AAAAAAAAAAGAATCTTAACATTTCTTTAAGTTACCATCTTTGCGTCTGTATTTTTCTACTCACAGAAATAATCCATTGTCCATTTTTCTGTTAGTATCTAAACATACTTTAAAATAGCAAATTAAATTAATTTCTGTTAAGAAAAAAATGCCAAATATTTGGATTAAATAACTTCCAGTAAATTTGTTTGTATCCCAATTCTCTTCTATTTAATCTATGATCTTCTAATATTCAGTAATCAAATTTCATTTTGATTACTTCTGGTTAATACTGTTCATATGTATATTAACAAAGATCAGCTAATTTATAAATTGGTTTGGGGGAAACCAAACCAATTTATAAATTTGAGAAAGAGTAAAGATATGTTAGAAAGAGGGAATTGAACTTAAGCTATGTTTGTGAAAAAGAGATGTCTTTGGATGGTACAACCTGTAATAGGTAAAAAGCAAAGAAGACAAAATTTGGCTCTGATATGCATATTTGCTCAAATTTCTACAGGCTCTATCTAAATATTTTGACGGGTCTTTTCACTATAAAATATGGTTGATATGGGTATGTAAAGTTCTGTTTATACTGGTAGGAGTAGGAGAAAGAATTTGGCAATAGTTAATAATATTCTGTATTTTTTTTTAACTTGCAAGTTTTCCCCAAAAGCATCAGTTTTAAGTAGTGTACCTTATAAATGCCTACCAGTGTTTTGACGTAGGGTCCCTATCCTGCTGCTTGTTTGGAGCCTGCCGCAGGAGGGACAAGGCTGTCCAGCTGTTGGCGATGTCCTGTATTAATCAGCCATTCATAAAACTTGTTCTCTACAAGTACCTGGAACTGCTTCCTTTGATCCCTAAAATCACAAGTGAAAACAAAAAGAGCACAAGAACATTAACTCATATATGTTTTATTTCAAGTGATTAAACATTAAATGATTCATTATTTCTAGTTATCCTTTTGTTCTCTCTCCGTTTAGAGTACACTGGACCACTTTCCCCTACCAAAAAAGAACTGGGCAGATACAATGCCCCCTTTGTAAAGACTTATTCATTGTCAGATATTTACTGGGGACCAAGTGAATGCTGGGTAGTGTTCTGATTGATGGGGATAAATGTGTAATGAAAAGAGAAGAGACAAAGCTGCTGTTCGGGCTGGATGGTACTACCCGACTCTAGAGACCATCGCATTGTGATCTACGTGGTCTATGTTCCTGTGGACCGTACATTCTAGTGGGAAAGCTAGAAAACAAATAAATACATGATATCAAGTGAAGTAGTTGTAAGTGCCTTGGGGGAAAACTGAGAAGGGTAAAGGAAGGCAGAACATTGGAAATGCTACTTTAGAAAAAGAATGGACAGAGATGACCTCTTTAAGATGACACTGTGCAGAGGTCTGAATGAAGTCATGGAGTAAGCAAAATGAGTATTGCAGAGGAATATACCATGCAGAAGAAATAAAAAGGACAAAAATTCTAAAGTTAGAGTATATTTGACATGTTCATGATAAGAAAGCAAAGCGTAGCCCCTGACAGCCAGGAGCTAGCTTAGCACTACCCTAGGCCTTGGTGTAGCTAGGATCTGGCCTGCCTGTGGTGTTCTATTAAACGTAAACAACTCCACATCATACCAACAAAAGACAAAGCCACTCTGGGATGATGACAATCCATAGCAAGAACAAGACCACTGCATAATAATATCTCAGTCCAGACCTCACCTCCCACCTCTAGCCCCTAAAATCTATGGTCTAAACCACAAAAAATGACCCAACATCAGCCTTTCCTGGCTGAGTGACTGCTGCTTCCTTGCAATTATAGTTTTAGCTCCATTTCCTTCCTTCTGCCTTACCTATAAAAATTATTAAGCTGCCAAATCATAGAATTACTGTTAGTCCCAGATAGTCCTGCTTCCCAGAACCCCTCAAAGCCCCTAATATAAGCCAGGCTCCCCAACCTTTCACTGAGAGGAAACACAGATCTCTTACTCCTTGCAATGAGTCAGTACAATCCCTTGTTCTCCATGGGTTCCCAGCAGTCTTTGGCTAGATGGCAATAACTAAGTAATAGTAAGACGACTGCTGTATGCTGGCAAGGAGGAAATGAAGAAAAGAATGGCAGAAAGTGAGGGAAAGAGAGGCTGGTAGGTAAGGTAAAGGCTTTGGATTTTATTACAAATGTGACTGGAAGCCATAAGCGGGGTCAGAGCAGGAAAATGACATAATCTAATCACTTTGAAAAGCTTTTGTTAGCAAGTTGTTTTCAAACTGATTGCCATCTGCCTTTATTCCCAGAGTCACATTGACTACTTTCATTGTTTCTAGTGTCATCATAGACGTCACCACATGAAAACACCACAGGTCAGAGTTAATACTTATCAAGTGCTTCTTAGACCCCATACTCTGCCTATGTGTTAAGCTTTTCACATGTATAAGAAAGTTCTAGGCATCTAGTATCATAAGCTTATTCAAACAAAAGATATCTTGAAAAGGATGTTTATTCAATGATCATCTACTTTTATATCCCATTATTGTAATGTTATTACTGTACTGTATGATATGATATGGTGTGATATGGTGTGACGATAGGTGAAAGAAAATGATAAAGACAATAGAGGCATCTAGGGGTGAATCCTGGCTCCTATGTGACTTGGGTAAAGTACTTAATCTCTATCTTCTTCAGTTTCATCATCTGTGATAGGAAATAATTATGAAGAATATATTAGTACCTAGAAGGTACTTAGAATAGTATTCTGTATATGATTTCTTTGATTTATCTCACTCATATCTGTCTATTACCTGAGCACGCAGTCACTCAGGTGACTATTACCTGAGCACGCAGTCACTCCTATCCCCAACCCAACAGGGCCTAGATGACTGATTGGAAATCCAAGCCTTAACCGAAGACTCTATCTTTTATTACTTTAGCACAGAATATATAGATTAATTTGTTTTTCCATGGAGTTTCAAATAAAATAGAAACTATTACTTCTAAAAAATACTCACTTTGTCAAGCGAGCCTCCTTCACAGTTTTCTGCCAGATTTGGATCTTCTGCTCTCTTTGTCCAAGTGCCTTCTGATACGCAGATGGAAGGCCCCCAGGGATCTCTGTGGTGTCCCCTTCCATTTCAAAGGGTATAATAAATACATAGAATTCACAAGGTGGTAAGAGCCGGAAGACACTAGTGTCACTGTTCTCTCTGCATACAACCATCGGATTGTCCCAATAGTTAGGCACTGTAGCAAGGCCTGCCCTGGCCATATGGTCCTCTAGCATTGGGTAATGGGTATGAAAGGGGGCAAATGTTACTGTCTGGTTCCTAGAGAGAATAAGTGGACGTGTAGGTGTCAGAATGTGAAAGATGCAACTTGTGGTAGAAGAGACAGACAAACGATGGCAAACAGCAATGACTTTAACATTGTCACAGTTGTAGAGGTGAAGACTAGTCTCTACAGGGCCCAGGACAAAGGTGCTGTTCCTGCACTTCTCAATTGTCACAGATCTGAAAAATGAAAAAAATGAGTTAAAATTCTCTGAATGAGAATAAAATAAAAACTATTTGACTAAAATATTATTCTCTGATGCAAAATAAAAGGTATAGTCCAAAGAAAACGTCAGAACACTATGAAGAGAAGAGTGTGCTTACCGTAAGGGAGAGAGCAGATAAATAAAAGATTCGTTACAACGATGAATCTTGACATGTGCCCCCACCAGAGTATCTGAGCTCTTGGCCAATGTCTGCTTGTAGACCTGGCTCATCACCACCATGCCATGCATCCTCGGGGCCACATGAGTATTACAAGCAATCTTGGCTCTCTTGGTTGTCCCTTCAACTATTTAAGGAAACATATAAATAAATGAGATAGTTTCAAATCAAAGAAAAATAACCATATGAAGTTACCCATGTTTATGTGTATACCTGTCTAAAATTAGATACTAAATGTGAAGAAAACAATGTTAGATCTGGGCATCAGGAAAAGAAGTGTTTGCTATACTATTCTCTGTTCTTTTCTGTATTTGTACTGTTTCATAATTTTTATGAAAATAATTAAAATGGATAAGCCACTTAAGATTGCCCACAGATCTGAAATTTTTTTCATGTCCACTCTTCAAGTTAAATCACATGACTAAGGGCATATGGCTAGTAAGTGGCAGAGCTGGCCTAACTCATGATGCTTCTCCAAGATGTTTTACTTCATCATCCCAACCATAATTCACCACTCTAAATGCCATAATATTAGTTTTATACCCTTTCTAATTCATTTGCCACACTATTCCATGAATCCTATTAGAGTTCATGTCTTTATTCCCAAAATCATTACTACCTGAGAGCACGCCTTCCTTTCATATACAGAGTCTTGTACACACTGACATTCAAAAAATATGTAAACTGTCCTCTTACCACAGTCTCACCATTATGTGACTGGCTTTTTGAACCATAAATCCCTACAGGCTGCTGGGACATCCTTGTAAACAACACTGGCCAAATGTGGAATAGTCACATAAGCATGCTATTAATCCTTTAAAACAATTCTTATTGTTTATTTTTGCTAGTATATTTTCTTACATATGTACCATGTACTTAATATACGACTAACATAGAAAAATAATAATAAAAGAAGATAAAAATCATTTGTAATCCTGTTATCCATCACTATTAACCCTTTAGTATAATCCTTATGAGGTTGGATATTCTTTTTTCTTTCCTACTGCTGTGTATTTTAACAACATTCAGAAACTCTCCTGAACCTATATTCTTTTATGAACATCAAGAATTATATAGTATCTCTTATATATTTATGGGAGCCTTACATATCTGAGAGTCTTACACCCCTGTATTAGAGCAATAGCTTAGTTGGATACAAAGTTCTTGGATTACAATCTTTTTGCTCAAGATTCCATAGATGTTATTCAACCATTTTGTTTTTTTTATCAAATTATAAAAATTTGATATAAAATAATGTTTCTTACATTTGTGTGAACCTATTTTTTTCTCTATCTTTGAATTTTGGAGATTGTAGAAGTATATTCTAGACTAGAGCATTTTTTCCCCATTAATTTTGCCAGGTACTTGGCCTCACTAGTATAAACACCTACTGGGATATGCTGCTCCACTCCTCTTCTCTTAAAACTTGTACCTGAGCTCAGGAGTGATATGGTACCCGACCGATCCATTTAGCCATTGCTAGATTCTTAGTAATAGATACTTGACGTAACCAGAAATTCTTTCCACTGAAAATTTAAATTTCCAATTAGAAACATCTACTCTGCTTGTGTCTGTGCAGCTAAGAAGACCTTATCTCTATTCAAATTCTGTGAGGTTGTTACCTGCTATGGCCAAATTCTGCTGTGTTTTATGGAACATAGGAAAGCCTCAAGCAAATAAGCATGAGAGTAAGAAGGAGAGAGAGCCAGAGAAGAGAAAAGTAGAGCAAAGAGAGGACTAACTGCAGTTGGAG